AAATGCAACACGCTAGTGGTGAACGGAGATTCAGTCTATTGTACCAAGGCATCCATCGTAACTGAAGCCTTGCCTCTCATGACTTCCTTCATGTGGCTGAGTTCTTGCTGGATATCCTGGAAGCGCTGCTACCAGTACCATTCTCTCCTTTCTTGTTGATAGGGAAAAAAATCGTTCCTCTCGCCCCTGTCATTCTGACTTTGTACTTATTCATTGTGTCCATTCCTGGGGGGTATGTGAGGTTTTGACCCCATGGTTTGACTATTTTTCCCTTCTTCGTTGACTTCTTTGAGGGGGTCAAGGTGTGGTTGCTCCCTAGATGGTGGGTTGTTCTGGCCTTCTTGAGCCTGTCGCGCCTCCTANGTGAGGTTTTGACCCCAAGATTTGACTATTTTTCCTTTCTTCGTTGACTTCTTTGAGGGGGTCAAGGTGTGGTTGCTCCCTAGATGGTGAGTTGTTCTGGCCTTCTTGAGCCTGTCGTGCCTTCTGTGGGCGTTGTAAAAGCTTTAAGAGTTTTTCGTTTTGTTTCAGTAAGCGTTGATTGACGAGGCGAAGGGTCTCCATCTCGTTATTCATGGGGAGACCCCCCACGGGTGAATTGGTCTCTTGGACGTTCTCAGGTTGTCTGCTATTAGTAGCTTCTTGTTGATCTTGCATTCGTGGTGGATTTGTCTGACTTTGGCTCATGTTTCGCGTTGATACCATCAGTCATTGAAAGATCAATTTATTTATAACAGGAACAGTCGTTTCTCACAGACGGCGCCAAATTGATGGTGCAAATCAATGGCGAAACAGTTTTGTCNGTTCTCAGGTTGTCTGCTATTAGTAGCTTCTTGTTGATCTTGCATTCGTGGTGGATTTGTCTGACTTTGGCTCATGTTTCGCGTTGATACCATCAGTCATTGAAAGATCAATTTATTTATAACAGGAACAGTCGTTTCTCACAGACGGCGCCAAATTGATGGTGCAAATCAATGACGAAACAGTTTTGTCGTAATGAGTCAATGAGATAAGCAATATTCTGATTATTAACGTCTGAGCCACTTGGCTCCAGGGAATGGTGCTAAAGGTTCTCCGAGAATTGAAGAATTAACATAGAGGAAATATAGTAGTTCACCGACTAGGGAGCTCGGCTAATCCACTCTTCAATGGAGGCTATGACTCATTTTTCTTTATTGATCATATCAAAGGTTTACAAAATAGGTTTTTGGTCATTCGGTCTCCCTTTCTGATGGGGGCGTTACATGGTATTGGTAGGGGTGACCCTTAATCTATGAGATCTGATCTGTGTTCCTCGCCATCTATCTGAGAAATTCTCTTTGATTTTAGGAGAGTATCTTGGTTGGTTGAGAATTTTGTGCCTTGAGTGTTACTTCAAACCACCTGTAGAGTTCTTTGTAGTATTCAATTGCTTACTCATTGCTTCAGCTTATTATCTCGCTTGAGGGGGAGCTCTAGCTCTGATTTTCTAAGCTTTGTATAGCTCTGACTTTTTGAACTCAGCATACCTGACATCTATATTTGACCTCCGTTCCCGAGCTCCTGTTCGGGAATCATTCTGAGTATCATTAGGATTTATCTCTCATTAAAGAAGAACAAACCAAAAATGATTTTACTCTAACGAAATTGTGAGTTTTGGAGGAGGAAAATTGAAGTAAAATCGCTAGTGATTTGGGTTTGTTAGTAAAATTGTTGTCGGATTATCTTCCTCTGAATCGTCTTCCCTCTTGTTGGAATCGGATAACAGTACGAATTACATTTTTTTTTTGGTTTGGTTTTTCTTCTTGATAAAATCTAAGCTAATATTTATTTTTTAGGAATTTCAATAGAGTTACTTCAAATTGTGACAATAAATTAGTGTAACAATTTAATATTTATTTTTTAGGAATTTCAATTTTACATATTTGCATTCATCATAAATGTTTTGAGTTTTCTTATTTTCCTGTTAGAATTCATGGATTTTTCAATTAGCTCGTTTGGAATTTATCAAGAAAAACTGAAGGAAAAAAATAAATTCATATCGTTAGCCTATTCTGACAAGAAGGAAGACGCTTCAGAGGATGATAATTTGGCGACAACTTTACTAACAAATCCAATTTTCCGACGATTTTGCTTTAGTTTTCCTTCTCCAAAGCCCACGATTCGTGACAGTGGAACCATTTTTCACAAAAATGTACTTTAAGGTCAAACAAGTTTCTTTAATGTATTTTATCTCAAATAAATCTAAATTTTTATATCAACTTCCGTTTTTTTCTTATTTGTATTATACTCTAGGAGCATTACCAAAGTGCTTCAAAAGGGATTTATCTTGACGTAAATCTATCTCTGACCTAAATCAACCTAAAATAAATATAAAATTTCAATTACTTTACTTAAAAATCAAATATGAAAACTTCTTACACCCTAAGATTCATAGAATGCAAAAATATTTATTTGAGGTCCTTGTATACCCCTGACCCAGCCCATTGATCTACACAAATATGAAAAAACCGAGGAGCAGACGCTAGCTAGAGGCGGAATCAATACGAAGAAAAAAGCAAACCAAATTTGAAAGGACTCAATAATAGTATTTTTTTTGGTACCATACCTCCAAATTTTATTATTTTAATTGATGTTTTTATAATTTTTATGAATTACTTTACAATCAAAAAATTTATAACTTTTGTAAGTGATTTATTTTGAATGTTTTTACCACTTTTATGGCACTTACAATTAAAAGTGATAAAAATACCATTTTTTTTTCGTGTACCGTAGACTTGTCCAATTTGAAAAACAGACAATACCCTTTCAAAAGTCTGTCTCGGTTAGAATCAGACACTAGAGGTCCATTATGTTTCAGGTGGGTAAACTTTGGGCCAACTGTAAATTCATAGATTTGGGTTTAACTCTCGCTCATGACCCTCAAATTTATGCAATACTTAATGAGTGATCATAGGAATTTGGTGTTTACTCTATAACACTGTGCCTAATATGGCTCTTAACTCGGAGAAGTTTCTAGTCATTTTTGAAAAAAAAAAAACAACTGAGAATCAACCCCAAAAGTAGTAAAAAGACAAGATGTAAAACTCAAACATCTTGATTTTGAATTTTGACAAGCCTTTAAGGTCAGATCACGAGAAACTTATCTTTCATAAATACCCTTATCCCGACGTGGATGACTTGACTTTAACTAAACTGGAATGATCCAGATACCCCTAACTATTGAATAGTCCATATACTCCCGACTGTTGAACAAGGGCGGAGGATAGCTTGTTGGCCAACTAATACAATTACAAAAGTTGGGTAACGGCATTGGTAAAAACAACTCTGAGGATAATGCCCCCCCTCATTTTTTTTTTTTTTAATTACTTAGGTATGTATATTCTATATTTTTATAATATATCATTTGTGTTCACCCACAATCAAAGACAAAAATATTACGCCCACCGTTATAATACAATGAATATGTATTTTAAGTATTTATTTAATATTTTTAATTATGCCCAACTTATATTTTTAGCACATCAATTAATGTACACTTATATCAAATGAATAATTTTAATTATGTTCTCTCTATTTTTTTGGGTACATCAATTAGTGTATATTTATATCAAATGAATATTAAAATTTTAACACATTTTGGACAAATTATATATCTATCTAGATAAATTTTGAATATACTAAAATTATTTTATATTTTCTAAGACTAAAAAAAACATGAGATACATATTCACTAATTTACTTGTGATTTTGACATTTATTTTTACTAATTATGGTAAAAATTATAAAATGTACATTGAATTGCATAATCGATCAAATGAGTTATAAATATCAAAGTAATAACATAATTATGTATCTAAAAAATAATAAAATTGTTATGCAATGTTTTCAAAATACAAAAATTTACCCAAGTCAATTCTAAATGATTTTAATTAGTTAAAATTTTGTAAAAAAAAATGTTATCATTTATATATACTAGACTCACTAAATTTTGATATGGTGGGTTTAATGAACTTTTAAGTATAAGATAAATTATTGCCCTATTTCTATTAATTGTAATAAAAAATAATAATTTGTTAAAATATTCATGTCCACCCTACCATAATTTTCTGGCTCCGGCCCTGCTGTTGAACCGAAAAAAGAAAAAAAACCTGAGGCTGTAAGGATATATTAAAGTCTTGTTACTGCAATGTTACAGTTGGAGGAGCAGGGAAGGGCAATTGACTCGGGCCAAGTTCTCCACATTTGTACATGTATAATTGAAGTTTGAACTCCCAAACCCTTTTGTTGCTTTTACTATTTCGTTCCCATGGATATGACTTCCACTACAACACACACCAGTTATAGGTAATGCGAAAGGACCCTAATATATTTTAGAACAAAGGAACTTGAGTCAGAGAGAATGGTTTACCGTTATTGAAATTCTTTGATTTGTCAATCATGGAGAAAAACATATTTCAAATCCACAAGCTGTGGCCGTTGGTAACGCTTTAGGCTAGTGCGCCGAATTGTTTGCTCCTTCAAATTTCCCGCAAAATCCCCACAACCCATAATCTCAATTATTGTACATGACAACAAAAATTTGTCACCCTGCACCATCTTCATTGTGGTACAGCACCAAGAAGTATATGACTGTAATCCCAAGCAGTTAAAGGATGTCATGTTCTTCCCGCAGAAGAAAAGGGAGCAGATTCTGGAATTAAGGCTGATTCCCTTAAGAAGTGGCACATCTCCTCCGGTACCTTGTGCAGCCACCACAGGGTCAATTCAGGCTTAATTCATAATATCACCCCTCACATTGGTACAATAGGTCATCCCTAACCAAAAACGATGCCAACTTCTTGCCCACTGAAGACCTCATACGACGTGTGATTAGAAGTGTCGGTAAGACAAATTCATTTCCTGAGGGATAGTGCTCAACTTGTTTTTGATGCTTTACCAAAACTTGGTGAGGAAATCAGCGAAGAACTCCAAGAATGTATAATTTTATATTCCTTTCATGTCAATAATGTTTGTGTCCATCATCTTAAAGGGCTAACAACCCAGCCTGTAATTGGACTCTGCCTCCGAACTCTAACTGTCCTATGAGAACCACTTTGCAACCGTTCAAGAACTGCATATGTTATTGAATCTGGTGTCAACCCCTGTTGTTTAAGTTTTGCATACAGATCCACAGCTTCAGCAGTTCTCCCATCCTTCTCAAGACAGTCAAGTAAGATGTTATATGTGACAATGTTTGGAATTGAGTATCTTCTAAGGATATCAACGTTCATTGTGTGTCACATTTGACATGGTCAAACAATTGTTGTCTCAGATATACCTTGTGGCACCATTTCTATACTCATTATGAGACCATTTTCTTCAAGATGCTAATAGCATATAAACTCAGTGAGCCAAATGAAAGTCTGTGTGTATGTGTGTGTGCGCCCCACTACAAGAAGAACTTCCCAATAACCTTAAGAAAATTCTGACATAATTTACTCCATAAAATTGTCAACTCTAAAGGACTGTTTAATGAGAGGGAATATCAGAGAAGGATGGATAGGGTTTCTACCAAAAAAGGGGGGTGACTCCCAGGTAAACACGAAGTAAATAAGGAGCAGACAAGCTCAAAAGGGAAAATGAAAAGCTATCCAACAACCATACAAAAGAATCCAACAAGTTTCCAGGTTCTTCACACGAAAAAAGTAAAGTGCTTTCAGCTTATGATTCCGCATTTCCAGATTCCAATTCCCACAAGCAATTCACTCTGAAGTCTCCAATAATGTGTGGTATGTAGGCTATGTCAAGGATGTTAGAAATCCCAACAAAGTCTCATAAAGATACTTCCACATATGATATAAATTCAACTGCCATCACAGTTTATCTTCTCCATTATTACAACCAGCTAAATTCTACTAAAAGGAGTCCTCAATACATGAGGTTCACACCAGTGCCAAGTCTAGAGAGGGTTAAATATACGCAACCTTACCCTTCAACTCGAGGTTATTTTCGCAGCTCAAACCTGTGACGTCTAGGTCAACCTTACCGTTGTGCCAAAAACCGTAAATTCTACTAATTCCATAAATTTCAGGTTCACCAAAGTTGTCTTATCGAAAAAAAGGTTCACCAAAGTTGTCCAGCCACTGGTTTCTAAACCTTAAGAAAATATATTTTCCCTATTCATCTGGGTATACTACAATTCTCATGAATCCAACAGATCACACAATCCCTTTTTTTCAGAATAATTTTCAATTTGGATTTAACAATATCAAAGAGGTTTTCACGACACCCCAACATCTCTCCATTTTCACATACCCACAATTCTCAACGTATTAGAAAAACACGAAAAGTTCAATATTTACATTTTTTTACAGCACAATTACTTGTAAATGAGACCTTTCTTCAAACTAGCATAAAAATAATCTAAGTGAATATAGCATAAATATATATATCAAAACAATTCAAACCTTTTCATCTTTTGCAAGAGCATCAAGAAGCATATTATACGCGAAAATATCCAGTTTATATCCTTTCATCCTCATTTCTCTGTAAACCTCCAACGCCTTATTCGAATCATTCGATCTCAAATATGCCTGAAGAAGACACTTATAAGTATAACAATTCAACCTCAAGTCCCACTGCTTCACCAACCTCAAACACCTCTCCAGTTCTTCAACCCCCTCTTCACCTCCCCCAAAAATCCCAATCAGTATATTAACGGTGGAGATACTGCCACGTAAGTTAGATTTCTCCATTTCTGTAATAATCCGACGGACAGTATCGAATTTGTGGGGAGAGGAGGACTTGGAGAGGATGAGGAGGATGCGATTGTAGGTGAATGAGTTGTGGCGGAAATTGGGGACATTTGAGGGGCAAAATTGAAAGAATCGAAGAGCTAGGGTAGGGGATTTTAGGGATTTGAGGATTTCGGAGGCTTCGGAGGGGCTGAAAGTTAGGGATAAATTTTCGAGATAGTCGGAGAGATCAAGAAAGGGATCTGATGATTGAGAATGGAGGATTTGGGTGATTTTGCATATGAGGTCGCGGCGTGGGAGGAGGTAGCCTCTCACGTCGGCCTGGAGGTTTGGTGCGTCCACTTGAACTTCAAATGAACGGCCGTTTTCGGTCTCCACCACCACTCTGCCGCTGTATTTGGTGGCGAAGCCACGGCGGTGGTGGTGACGGAGGGTTAGACGGAGGTTGTGCTTCATAGTATACTGTCTACCTCTTCCTCTTCAGTCAACTACCTCACCTCACTGTGCTTTACGATTGTTGATGGCTGCGGAACCTAAATTTTTGGAAAGTTTGGTGAGCAAAACGATGCCGTTTGGTGCCTGCAGCAATAAATTGGGCCCAACGGGTAAACCATAGCGGCCCAGATCCAAAGCCCAACTAATTCCGGATGATTTTGTTTCATTGTTCTTACAGAATGGGAATAGTTGGATAGTAATGGAAGAAACATGTGGTTCTCATAATATAATGGGCAAGGTTGGAGCTAGTTTAAATATTAGTTTTTAATAATTTTAGAATAAAATAAGTCATGTATGTTTAGATTTTGATTTTTTTATCAGTTTATACAACAACTTTTTGAATCCAAAAAATACTTATTTAGGCTAATTTAAGAAGATGATTTTATGATTTTTTTTTTTTTAGTTTTTTTGGTTTGGGTCTCAAAATCTGTTTTTTATTCTCAAAACACAAAATTTTATGAGATGTTGTTTGGTTAGTAGTTTCCAAAAACAAATTTTAAAAAAAGGTGAGAAATGAAAACAAAAAATAAAGAACATATAAATGATGTTTTTTGAATTTTCATGCCAAAATAGTAAATTAGGAGAACAACCCCTCTTTTTGAATGAGATTCAACCATCAAACTTTCTTGGTAGTAAAACACAATTTTTTTCATTGAAATATAAAAGCACTCACTTATGTTTCCTTCATCTCCTCTCTCTCTCTCTCTCTCTGTGCAACGATTACTGTGCTGCTTCAACTGAGTAGCGAAGACCAGAGCAACGATTCTTAGTAACAAAACACATTTTTTTTCATTGAAGTAACAAAACTCTCGTTGTTCTGCTTTAACCGAGTAACAAAGACCAGAACAATGACTTTTTCTCTCTCCAACAATCGTTGTGTTGCTTCAATCAAGTAACAAAGACCAGAGCAATGATCGCTGCTTCAACAGAGTTATGATCACTGGGTTCAAGATCTGTCTTTTTTTTTTTTTTGCATCTGGGTTCAAGATCTACAAGGAGATACATACAGTGGGTTTTCTAGGATATGAATTTATGGATATGATTTTTTGGGTTATGAAGTATGTTGATTGATTTATGAGTTACGAATTTGTGTATCTAGATTGTTTGGGCGACTTGAGTTCCTTGCTGATTGAACAATTGGGAGTTCTAATTTCTTGATCTATATATCAATTTGTTGTGAACACCGTTTTTTATGTAATTTGGTCATTTGGAGATTTTGAGAGAGATAAGAGATCATCGCTTCTTCAACAGAGATTGAGTTTTTTTTTGGTAATTTATCAATTTTAATATATTAAAATATTTTATATGAAATCGTCGATCCAAACAAATTTTTTGTTTTTTATTTTGTGAAACTATTTTTAGAATCATCTAACTAAACAAGTTTTTCGTATCAGAAAATATTAAAATAATTTTTTCAAAATTCTTATTAAAAACTACTTTCAAAAATTATTTTTTGAAATACAAACCAAATGTCCAAACATACCCTAAAAAGTCACTCCAAACAAATTTTTTTCAACTTTTTCAATTTTTTAAAAAACACTCCAAACAATTTTGAGAGGCTTTTTGAACTTTGACTTTTTTGCTAAGCATTTCAAACAACAATTTTTTACCTAAAGAAGTCAACTCCAAACAAGCTTAATATCAATATTGACTTTTGTCCATGGAAGTGTTTTGCTTTGATGTAAGAACACGTTAATAATTTTAATACCAATCCCAATCCCAATCCCAATCCCAATCCACCCATTTGAATACCACCCCATAGATGGTCTTGAATAACCCTATGTATATAGGGTTATTTATATGGTGACTATGATTCTATCGAAAAAAACATTGCCAAACATGAAACGTGGGCCCCAAATTTATTTTACCCTGTCCAACGGAGATATCCCACTCAATATCACTGACCAAACGAACTCCATAGGAATTGGTATTGTCCCTCGAAACAATTTTATCAATTTTTTTATCCAAATCAATGTGAATCATTGAATCATTTCTTTTTACTAAATTACCAATAATCAATGGTGATCGTCTATTTTATTATGAAAAGCAAGATACACAGGATTATAATGTAAGTTATAAACATAAGAAATAATTGTTTGGCGATTATGCTGTATTTTGCAATGCTTGAAATGCAACAGTGCAGTCATTTAGGATGAAACTTTCTGTTGACAGAATCGTATTTTGGGACATTGAAGCTGCCCAAAAAAACAAAAACAAAAAAGGGTTTCACATGGTGAAATTACCATTTCCATATGATGCCATCGTAAGAGGCGAAGAAATGAGTTTCTGTTCTGTGCGATGGCAGTAATATTCTTTGGTGTGATTTCATTCACAGCATTCAAAAAGGCTTCCTGAAAAGATAACACAACCATGCTACCATAAAATACATGTTAAATCTCTTCACTAAGGGCATGATCAGCAATGAGACAAACATCAAAACAAGCCAGAGAGAGACGTAAAAGCAGCGTAGGGCTGGGGAAACAGAGAGCGAAGAATGAGTAAGAACTTGGATACTCTTTTTCATAATACAACTTATGCCGTAGGGCATAATAGGTTAGTGATTGTCCAAGACTGCACAGCCAATCGTACGCATTTTGGCCCCTTATCATGTCATGTGCAAAATAAAACATAGCATAAGCTGTAATATTCGTTTTAGATGTGTGTGCTTTTTTCAAGTCCATCTGCAAATGAGAGAGATGACTACGTAACTCAGAATTCTAGGTTCATCAGAACGCCAGATTTTACAGACTCTTTAGCACCATTTAGTTCTACCCAGTCAACTGAGACAAGAAAATTTGCATTGGTCAGCTAACATGGCAAAAATGAAAGTAGCATATTAGTGAATTAACCAACTGAAAGATGCACACAAACCCTGATCAGGAACCGCAATTATAGGAATTTCTCCTACAGCTATGTCAAAAGCTTTACATACAAACTCAGGGTCCTAGGTCCGGAAAAGTGAATCTCATCAAGCCAAGAAAGGGATACTAAACAACGGAAATTAAGACACGTAAAGGTATTTAAATTTCATGAGGCCAGAATATGAGCACATCTATAGAATTACTTACAATTCAACATGGCAGGAAATGAGAAAACTTAAAAGACGGAAAATAAACAACAAGTGCCGAGAAATACGATGATCTGCTACACTTGATGAGTCCGACAAAAAAAAAACCCTCAGTTCAAACCGCCTTTACCCACTTCCTGATAGATAAACTTCATCAGGCCTTGGTAGGATTCCAGGAAAAAAGTAAGAAAAACACTAGCTAGAATGCATAAAAGACAAAACTTATAGACCCTTTTGCATGCAGAATAGTTAAAAGAGTCAATGTAGTCAGTGTAACGAACAATGTAGACAACAGGGTAGTCATTAAAAGTAATATGCATCGTTGCATAAAGAACAAAGTAGATATTCACCAGGACAAATGAGAACAATTTATGCGAGGAAACATAGAGAACCTAGTAAATAACTGCAATAACGAATGAAGAAGGCAGCCTCCTAAGTGTGTAAACAAGGTAAATTTCGCAACAAACAAAAAAGGAAGCAAAGTATACAACACACACACACACAAATCTAAATCCAACAAAAGATAAAAGACACATCGTGTTTACGGTACAGGGATATTTTTGTAAATACGTCTATATTAGGGTTATATAAATACTTANACACAAATCTAAATCCAACAAAAGATAAAGACACATCGTGTTTACATACAGAACATAAGGCATATCTATGAAAATACAGAAGTTTTGGAATTCTGCCTATCACNGAAAAAGGAAAAGAACAGCCGCTCGCTCTCGTGGATGTAGACACATTGTCGAACCACGTAAATCTCTGTGTGTTATTTTTTCCTGCTTTCTTAATTGTTTGATTCCTTACTATTCACCATAATTACTGCACGATCACAACACAGAACATAAGGCATATCTATGAAAATACAGAAGTTTTGGAATTCTGCCTATCACAGTGGAAGCATATATTCCAAAGACACCTGTTTTACAGGAGATACTGTTGAAGGTAGAAAAAGATTTGAGCCGATGATGCCCACTCAAAACATGGAGATCTATGTCCAAGTGGCAAGTATGTAAAAATGGTGAACTTAAGCAAATAGATGGATATGTAAAGCAAATTATGGTGATTTCATTTAGACAAGAAAAGAGAGGGAGGCAATCCTTGAGACACTATACACCCAAATAAAAAGCAACAATAAAGAAATGTCAATCTAAGTTTCTAGACGACAGGGAGCGTGTGTACAACTCACAAAACCATGAGCGCATCCCTTTTCCTGGACCTCCAGCCAAAAGCATCTGTTGGCTGACCAGAACTATTATGGCTTCTCATGTAACATGACACAAATACTGGCAAATGGATAAGACACCAGCAAGAAAATGTAATTCAACTGCATGTAACAAACATAAACAAGGGGTAAATTATAGATAAACTTGTTCAACAAGCTAGGCCAAAATTCAAGACTTGAAGAACTGTCAACGTGACAGCTTCTTTCTCACTATGCTAGCCAACAGGAGCCTCGAAAGCAAGAACGAAGTGAGTCTCCTGGTCCCAGAAGGAGGTCAAAAGAGTTCATAAACAACAAGAGAATGAACAAAGAACTGAAAAGAAAAGGAAAACCTTCCAATCATGATATAAACCTACCCCTGAATCAGCTCGAAAACGATAATCGCCTCCAACCTACAAAGATTTGGGACACTGAGGACGAGGCATGCTAGGGAGATCAGAAAGAAGTGGCTTTGCAACAGACAAAAGCTTCGCATGTTCAACCCCACATGCTGGAGCGGTGTAATTCTCCTGAAAATTCATAAAAAGAACCGTTGCATAATACAAAATAGATAATGCTTGCAAAATAGAAGAACCAAGAAAGAAAATTCTTATAAGAAGTAACATTCCAAAAAAAAAGGTGGAATACTTCAAGACTATCGGTTGCATTAAGATCAACAAAATGAAAAACTTAAAAACCAGATATCTATTTTACACAAAGTTCACAGAATCTTACGGAAACAAATTGCTCAAAAATGGTGCTATTTAATATGTTCGCCGCTGATTCAGGAGCCAAAGAGGATTGGATAATGCACCAGAAAAGCCATTAGTGTGAATGGCCTCCAAAAGTAAGGCTTGGGGGTTTTCAAGAAGCTCTGCGAGCTCTGTTTTCAGCTTCTTTAGCTGTAAAAGTCATGTAGAGAATTCAACTACTTTTAAACAATCTGACATGACAAAAACTGTGAAAAAAATGCACTATGACCAAGAAGTACCTCTTCATTGACCTTCCAATCCAAAAACACGGGGTTTCACACGAAATCAATGAGAAGCTCTACCATCTCAGGGACATAGGTCTTTATACCATAAAAAATATACGCCATCTAGTCCCAATCGGCTGAGGCCATGACATGCCCTCCAATAGCTTCTACTTCTCTCACAATGCGCAAGTGGCTCCGGTTCTTTGTGCTCTTAAAAGCCATCCATTCCAGCAAATGTGTGGCCCCAGTAGACAGGGGGGTCTCATAGATGGAACCACAGTCCACATATAACCCTATGGAGGCTGTGGGACTCTGGTTTACCAGCCAAACATCGCTTAATTAGTAGAATAAGACACAAATAATGACCACAACCTCATTAATGGACAGTGAAGGAATACACACTGGTGATATTTCTGAGGCAATTATGATACCATTTGGGAGAGTTGTTATCTTTGTCTTGGTAGCTTCAACATAATCAGGTAATGGAGGTGGGAGGCTAACACCAGCAAGAGGGATATCCAGAGGGGGAAGAGAGCTAGACTGCTCCCCTATCAGCCAGGTAAAGAGTCCCCAGATGATGATGATCCTGTAGCAACTACACTTGAAGTTGCATAACTTGCAGCCCCAAAACTGCACATTCGGCCCTAACCATGCGAGTTCATCATACATTTCAAAACAATTTCATTGGCTATGACTTCCCATTAAGCACTATCCTATAAAGGATAAATATCTATTCATCTCCGCGCACATGTGTTGATCCATATACTTAAGTACATTACATTCAGACAAGAAAATTGCAAATCTCCTACCAATAACTTCTCCTAGAGTATTAAAGATGAAAAGATTATGGGTTGGCTCTCTTCTTTGCAATTGATTTTCGCCCATTTCATTGATTGGGCAAAAAAAATTAACAAAACCCGGATTGAAAAGCAGCTAATCTATTCAGTACAAAACATGTGTTTGGGATTAATATTTACAATCTGGCATTCCATTATTTTCTCACTAACCAAACATGACATACATGATACGAGATAACCTCATTAGAGCTAAAATGGTGGCTTTTTAGTACAACCAGTGATCAAATTCTCATCTTGAATACAAATTAGACATCAGAAAAATCAACAAAACAAGCTACAAATCGGATGCTTGAGAGCTCTTAGTCGAGAAGTAGCTGTTCTGTACATGGTTGAAGAATAAACCAATAGCTCTGGTATATTTTGCCTGCCTTTACTAACAATTCTTTACGCACCATTACACTACAGTAGCATTTTACGAAGGTCAGTACCTCTCATTGCATGTTTCATGCATCATAAGTTTGTATTAAAAAATATTTCACACATTTTCGATTTATTTATTAATCTATGTCTAACGAGTCGTATTATATCTGACTCATGTCGTATATCATTCGCATATAATTAATTTATAAACAAATAATATCGTATATTTTTTTTATTAACTTCACTCATATTTAATATCGACTCCATTCGTTTATGAAATGAGTAGCTTAAAGGAGACTCAAATCCTCTAATTTCATATAGTGTTATATTTTGGCATCCCACATACACAATTAATATTTTTTTTATAAATATTATAATTAATTTTTGAACTTTATATCTATTATAAAATATTTTATGAATTTTTAATTATTTTAATTTAGTTTTTTAACTGTCAATTTCATATCAATTAAATCATTTCGTCAATTTCAGCCATTAGAATAAACGGTGACACATGGCGCAGACGACCACATGACTGATAAAATGACTTAATTGAAACAAAATTGATAATTAAAAGATAAATTGATATAATTAAAATTTTAAAGACCATTTTAGGACTCATTGTAATATTTACCCATATACTGTTTCTACATTTTGTTTTCTTTTGGGGCAAGCAGGACCCCAAAGAACCAGACTTTACCTAAAATAAAAATTAAAATACCTATAGGCCTCTGAAAAAAAAAAATCCATCCAAAAAATACCAATAATCTTTTTTCCCTATCCAAACAGGCCAGTGGAGATTTTTTTTTTTTTTTTGCCAAAAAGCTATCTGCTTATTTTTCTACCAAATAGCTTCGGTTATTTGATTGAAGTTTGATTGCAAACAAAACTGAGTGGGATAGAATTTATTATCCAAACCATTTTACGTTTGTTCAAATACTAGTACTAAACTACAACCGTGTTTAACAATCACAACTTTTGAAAAGTGTGTGGGTTTAGACAATAAGCCTAAGTCTGAAACCCATTTTACTTCATAAAACACCTCAATAATTGTTTCTAGAAGTTGTTTACGGTACCCAAATAATAAATTTTGTACCATTGTACTATATTTTTTTTGGTATTTTTATTATATTTATAAGTATTTTTACCACTATTATGGTACCAAAAAAAATGATAAAAATAATTATCACAATGATAAAAATACCCAAAAATATAAAAAATCACTCACAAAAATAACAATTTTTTAATATAAAAAAAAAAAAAATAATTACCACAACAATGATAAAAACACCCATAACAATGGTAAAAATATTCACAAATGTGATAAAGCACTCAGAAATTATATCATCTACAAGACCACTAGTTCTCTGAAAGTAATAAATTTTAAAAGTATGATACCCAACTTTATTTATCGATACCATAGTCAAATCCTTGTTTCAAAGAATTTGTTGTCTCGTAGATGATAAGTTTTGTTATTTTCATGGCAGACGGGGAAAAATAGGACAGTGCAGTATAAATGTTCACATCACAAGCTTGATTTTTATTGTTCTTGGATCATCAATATGGTGTATATATCTCCACAAATTCACCAGCAAAATTAGAATAGTAACGACAAAACTAAAGAATAAACCGACAGTGTCTGGTTTAGTTGTAAGAGTATCGATCTGGAGAGTTTACAACAATATAAGGACAATATGAGGTGGTGATGGCAACCGGGATATGGGCAAGGTTTCCATCTTTTGGCCCATCAACCAAGCTTCCAGGACCTAAAGCTGTCAGCAAAGCCAAGACAGAGGAACCACCACACAAAAACCCCACCGTTAGCTGGGGATACCATCGCTGGAGACACTGTACAAGAGAGCAACAACCATAGATATCACTCTTTTTAGAGAGGAGTAGAGCTACTATCAACCATGATTTCCAAGGCCCCGAAAAAAACAATCTTATTCATGCTTTTAGCAACCACAAGTCATCGATTGCTTCTCCCATTGACAAAACACCAAATATCGAAGTATCACATAGATACTATGATAGGAAACATGATATAATTGCTAAAAACCAACATTGTTTAACATTGTATCAAAACTATACACAAAAAGATAACCTGTATCTGAAGGAACGGTGTATCAAAACATTGTATCCTTCAGACAAAAAGATTTATCAAACCTATACACAAAAAGATGTACATTGTATCATAGATGCTATGAAGAGAATACAATCTCTAGCTACACCTCAAGGTCCTCGACCCTCTGTAAATACAGTATGGATCACCTCCTTCAAATTCTTGCAGCCCAAGATCATAATCTCCTCAAGACCTAGAGCTAACATAGACTTTTCAGCTGATTTGGGGACAATACACTTTTTATATCCCAGTTTTGCTACTGTATTTACCCTTTTCTCCATTCTTGGAACCTACATTTAGAAATTGGAAATCATAAGATTTTGTCAACCATGAATGCAAGTCCACCAAAATTTAATTAAAGACTGACCACATGGAAAGAAAATTCCCCAAACCAAAACAGTAAAAATTCAACAGAAATCTTAGGAGTCCATAGATAGGATTTTCCAGCTTATCATAAGTACATCTGCTCCTGCCCAGCAAAAAGAAATTAAAAAGAATACACCAGCTCCTCTCGTCAACAGTGGACAGACAACACATAAGACACAAAAGGGTGGCCCTCCAGGGCTGCCTCAATCTCCTATCAGCACAACCCTTGCCAACAGCCAACAATCTTTCGTACTGCAGGATTAGTTTGTACTCCAATTCACCATAAATTTGGAATTTGAACGAGTACTAGGCATGGTATAAATAAAACTGTGCAGAAGTTATTACCAATAACGAATTGTCGAAACCTAGCTCAGATTCTTTTGGGAATTTCCAATTTTGAATTCTATCAACAACTTTGCATTAGACCCTCCTACGGTGAGAAGGCATTTTCTTAATTGAGTTCTATAAACAAATTTGCATTACACCCTCCTACTGCGAGTAGGCATTTTCTTACTATGATAATTTAGTGTGTGAACATGATTTGGCCTTTCAGCTTGGGTTTCTTCATCTATCTCTGCCAACACACGATATTTATGCAGAATTATATACCAAACCTGCACACGGAGCTGTAATATTTATGAAAAACAAGTTGCTGCCCCATATAACCAACATTCTCTCATACATAACAGTTTCTACTGGCAAACAATAGTGCATACTAAAGAGCGCTTTACTGATCCCAACTAAAGCTTGGCTTTGAAGCCTCCTTAATTCAATGTCAATACAGGTTAACCCACATTCCCATGCAAAACTTAAAAACGTCACAATTTTCCAAATATTGCAGATGGCGCAACTAGAGAGCTTTTCAGAAAGAAACTTGCTAGGGAAGTAAGTTCTGAATTAACTAGAATGCCGTGAGAAGGAGGCACATACCCCACGAAGCTCACCACCAAGGCCAATTTCTCCAATGAATGCTACACCACTGGGAATAGGAAATTCTAAGAAACTGAAGAACACAAGAAGCACAGATTAGGTTACCATAAAACAGAAACAAATAGTTGACACAAGCAAAAGGAGGCCAAAAAAGGCAATGATGAAACAAAAACAAGTTCAAGAAATGGTTGCAATAACTAGGGCTGCAGATTCATAGGTCAAATCTGACCCACCACAATTAATGGGCAGGCTTTTCCTGAACTTTTGAAGTTTGAACTTGGGTCTAGAAACTCCAACCTGACCTGAAGTTGAGTCAAGCATAGATTGACAGCCCAACAAAATCCAGGCTAGACTCGTGTAAGGTATGTGACAACACAGTAAGTCCATGTCAATCACAAGCACGTGTGTGATATGCATGTCCTGTTGGTTATGAACAACTTTCCACTTGCAAAAAATTACTACCTAAGTTCCGATAAGCCATATTTCAAATCAACTAAAACCACATTCTCCAGTCCATATGATGGGCACATGTTACTTTTTCATTTTCTTCCATTTCCTATTTTTTTGTGATCATCAAAAAGAACATTATTGTGTATTTCCTTCGTGTGTTCTCTATTCAGCAAAATATACTCAGCAATATTGCACGTAGACCTGGAAATCTTGGGCACTAAGAAACTCACAGAATGCGAATCAAGTTTCCAACATTCCACTGGTACCGGGATAACGATACTAAGCCAGGCTCAGAGTTGATCATCTTAAGGTTGTGGTGAGGTAGGGTTTGGATTTGGCAGCCTCTGTGGCCATTATGACAAAACTTGACCTTCAGCTGACCCAACCTAATCCAACCAGTTAAAGTTGCATTTCCCAGTAAATCTTATTTAGCACCTCACAGTAACTGGTAGACTACCACAGTCGTATATCAGGTATAATCTTTGTGGAATAATGAATAAAAATTTATACGAAGAAAAATGCTTCCATGCTTATTTGGCATAACAAAAAACAATTACAACTAATCTAAAAGACTTGAGGTTAGCTTTTCGATGGCATGCCTGCTGCAAATTGCGGCTGCTATTGCAAGATCCCCAGCAGTCTCAATCAGAGAAACCCCACTAACAACATTCAAATAGATGCCCTGTAACCAAAAGGAAAAAGAAGTACTTAATTTATAAAAAATACAAATAAATAATTAGACACTAAACACAACCATATTAATGATCACTTTAATAAACTAAATTTACTAAATCACGCAAAAAATGAGATCCAGTGGATAAAGTCTGGCAACAAGTAAACACATATTTTCAGTCTGCAATTTTTGCACCAAAAGCACTGTTCCAATTTTCAGTATATTCCAATAAATCCTTTTGTAATGCAACAAACTTAAAAATCAAGAAAACTAAAGTTCCAACATAATTATACATGTTCAAGTTGAATTCTACAAAAGTTCCTCTGATTTACACGCAATCAGAACCTCTGAAGTCTTAAAACATCATTACATTACACATTTGATCCATTTGTTCCTTAAACAAGAAATTCCTTTCTTCTTACATAGCCAGCAGAATAGCAAGAAGGAACCACTACAAATTAATATCCAGCATTCATCTCCTTCCTCTTCAATTGATCCTACTGAGGCAGATCTGAAGTTTTGAAGTCAAAATCAGTGATATTAAGTAAAAACACAAGCTAAGGGAGTGAAACTTCTTTTCCTTCTTTATGCATTGGCTTACCAATCCAAGTATTGGTGTGGTGTCATTATGTCTACACTCTAGAGCACTGTTTTAAAACCCAGCCCGGTCCAGCAGGTTAACCCGGTGAACCGGTACCTTAGCCAGGCCAGTTTCTAAAGAAAACAGTCCAAACCCAACTCAAACTGGAGAATTTTCATAAAAACCGTTACAAACCGGACGGTTTTTCATCATCCAAACCAATCTACTATTTTAATCTTATTTATTATTAAATGTTATAAACTTCAGCCAGCCAAATGCCACTTAGCTTGTCCCATCCAGAAACCGGTACGAGACTACCTAGCAAGGCCACCACTCAAATACGGAAATGACCAGTCCTCTTATAACGCATGTAGTCTTCTTCACTTTTGCTTCGTTTCAATGTGGGATTGAATGTCTTGTGTTTAAGATGCCTCCGTTCTTTATGTTTTTAATACTTTGTAGTATACTTTTGAGTTACATTATTACTATTTATACCAACTATTAAATTCTTATTAGTGAATTTTTTTACGTCCTATCAAATTATATCAATCATGTAAATAACTTTAAAAAAAATTTGGTCAAGTGTAAGCAAATTAATATATTGGGGATATTTTTTTATCTTTTTAGTTCATCTACTATGACATCAAACATGCTATTTTAACAGCTATTATAATCTTTTAGCATATTTATTATTATTAATAATTATTTTTTATTATTAATTATATGGCCGGTTCGACCATGGACCCAACGGTTGAACTATTGACCCATTGACGGGTTGATGTTTGGGCAGGTTTTAAAACTATGCTCTAGAGTACTAAAATTCAAACATTCAAGAATATCTTATCATATCCAAACATGGACAATTATTGTAGCCACTTTGTACAATAGTTAGGCCCAAAAACACACAAGTACACATTTGGCATGACAAGTTCCACTATCTTTTCAAATCCCAACATTTTCTTTTTTTTTCCAACTCTTATTATTAAGAAATCCTCGCCATATCCATGCCATGAAAAAAATCATCATTTTTTCATGTTTTCAAAGCCCCCAGCCCCCTAAAGTTCCACATGGAGATCAAAATGTAGCAGAAGAACCACATAAAAGTTGCAGAAAATATTAAGTTAAAATTGAAATAGAGTATAAGAAGAAAGAAAGAGGAATGTATCTGGGATCAATATAATTACATTTTCTTGAAGCTTTAGACCAGCTTGCTTCATAAGAACCTATGATTTAAGAGGCATAAAGGTCAGTTCTATTGCAGACTAGTGCAGTACAGCATACTCAATTTATTATTCAGTATGCAGCTAAAAAGAAAACAAAACTCAAGCTTAGTAATCTAAAAATAGTGGGCAAATAAAGAACAGAATTTCGAAGTTCAAACATCTGTTGTAAGAACTCTCAAGTAAACCAAAGAGTGGTCTCAGGTGGCTGCTTTTTCTTAGCAGGTCCACACTAACACTGATGACTAGCTAGATGACATATGCAAGCAAAGATGAAAATTGACCTTCAATGTCTTGCTTATGATGCAAAAACTTAGGAGCCTGGCTAAAGGTGTATTGAGGGGATGCTAACAAAAGTGATTTTCAACATTGGGATGGCAACAGGCAATCTACAATTCAAAAGCTCAAACTTCTTTAAGCACCATACACAGAGGAAAAATCAGGTTGATCGAGGAACAAAAGAGTCCTATGATCAAATGCTTCATGTGGCATAGAAGGTGCACAGCTATTTGTCTCTTCACTCTCCTGTGCCACACATGCTATGTTCTAACGAGATGACCACCATGGTCCCGGGTCCACCTGAGTTCTTGCCTGGAACTAAATCGCAAAGATCCCAATAAAAAATCCACCAAGCAAGAACGAAATAATAATAGAATATCTAAAAAACTACTCACTGAAATAATCATATCAGCTCTGCTCGCTTGAACCCCATTTACTTGCCTTGAACTGGATGAGCCAGCTACACATAATGCCTACACACAAATTATGCATGTCTCAAAGATGCTCTGTCGGACAAAAGGGGGGATGATGAGAGAAAATGTGAAGCAACAAAATGTCCATGGTAAATGTTTAACATTTTAGTTCAGAAATGACGAAGTTTCTTTTTCATAAAAGAAGAATATCTTAGGAAAGGAGATCAAGGAGCACAAAATTACTAGCAAGGATCCATAACTATGTAGGAGATTCTAAGGTGGAATTCTGTGCAGTTCTCAAAGTATCCTTTCCTGATTTAAAGTTTGTCGCACACACCGTGTCAAACAGTAACGACATACTTCAATAGCAAGTGCAGATGCAGATTCCAATTTGCACATGGTGTAGGAGACAAGAGAGGTTTAGAGCGCTACCTAGACAAATGGAAATAATGATGGATGACTGTAGAAGCAAGCTTCATTGATACTTTTAATCCAAGTTATTAGTCTTCTTTTTAACAACTCAAGAGAATGAATAGCAATCAATATTTGTGCCAATTTGTAAGGAAAGAGATTTCATAAGGCGTAACTTCAGCATTCATTCTCAGATAAGCAATGAGGAGGACTACTGGATTATAGCTTCCCTAGACTGATTGTAGGGTGTACATGGGCCAGAAAATATTTTAAAAATCTCATACTTCCAGTTAAACTAAAACAAAATACAAGACAAAAGCACAGAAATATAATGAAAGAAATACCTGAATTTCAATAACAAAAGTTCGAGATCCATCCATAATTACAGCAACTGCTATTCCTGCCAAAAATTCTGAATCAGAGTGCTGCTCACTCAAGAACATCTCACTGGGGTTCGAAACAGCTTGCAATCCTGATTGCGACATTGCGAAAACTCCAAGCTGACAGCAAAAAATTATCCTGTGGTTAAATATAAATAACAGAGAATATGTCCCAGATATTCATCAATAATAAAAATATCTGTATCATCTACTTAGTTATCCCATAACAAAGACGAACCAAAGAAGAAAAGAGATTCTCCATATAGAGTATAATAAAGATTAAACCCCGTGTCAAATTAAATGTGTTGAAAGGAAGACTGTCAACTGTAAGATGGGACTACACTACATGTACAATGGTGAGAGAAAAATCAATGAGCTTCATAATCTCATCAGGAAAATGTTTCCACAGTTGATACGATAGAGCACCATAAGAATTTAGACTCCAAAGGAAACCTCCACAATTACTCTAAGGCTAAGAAATTTGACACTGTGAACTAATAGTAGACTTCCTCCCTATGCGTTAAACAAATAACTTCTTTTTCACTTCTTTGATATTTTGCTCTTTCATTAAAATGATCAAGGGAGATTCACTATCTTGTCAACAGAGAGAGAGAGAGAGAGAGAGAGAGAGAGATAAGCCATATTGACCCACACTAGTGATGACTGATGAGCACTTACTGGTTAATGTCAGAAAAAATGTGACATAAAATGATAGCAAGAACCTGCCATAGAGAAAGCAAAACAGTATCTTCACCATAGAAACCTAAATGGAGGACTGGGAACAAAATACCCATTGAGAACGAGCTAGGTATCATAGAACAGTAATCACATGCACTATATGAGATGCAACTGAAACGCAGACCAATGCTTATCAGAAAAAATTTTTAAAAAAGAAAGATGATCATTTAGAAAAAAATGGCTCAAAAAAAAAAAATGAAAGTGCCAAATTAGGAATTTAGAACCACATACATGATACATCCAAAATGCTCTGTCAGCAATGAAGCTGCCCCTATTCAACCCTCTAGCTAACACTTATGGTCAAGGCAAATGCTTGAACAAGATTTTGGGGCATATCAAACTAAAGGCACCCCTTGAACATACAAATATAGATATTGTTGAAGTATAAATACTTAAGTTACACCTTTTCTAACTGCTTGAGCTTTTAGAGTAGGTAGTGGTTCAACATGGTTTCAAAGTAGGAAGTCTTGTATTCGAATCTCACTGTCATCCTGATTATTATAAGATTTTCATGTACTAAGCCTAAAATCTTAGCCTATGTGTGGGGGCATGTTGAAGTATAAATACTTTAGTTACACCCGCTCTAATAGCTTAAGCTTTTAGATGAGGTGTTGTTCAATAGATATAAGACATGAAGTATTTGAAAAGGAAAAAGGTATCCATAGTACAATGACCTGAAGACCACCAGAGGCAAGGAAAATGAGACAGCATCATGGTTATGGGAAAATAGTGTCACGTGGAGAGGAATTTGCATTAATAATCAATGCGTAGGTCCTAGGTTTATAGTATTTCTTATTAGTTCGCATTATGAAAATACTTCTCAACTTCCTCTATAGCTATGAATCTTTCAAAGTAGCACAGACAAAGCTATGCCCTGATAATAATAAAGTTTGTAGCATACAAAATCGACAAGAAATCTCTAGGCGAGGAACTCCCTTACAGAAGAAAGACTTATTAAACATTGAATGTTTAACTTTTTAATACAGATTTATGCTAAGTAAGTATGCATATAAAAGAACATCATGGAACGGGGATGCTATTAGCCTAGTATAATATGAGCAGATATCAACACCAAGTCCAAAAAGGTAAAAGGCTAAGTAGTTGACAAACTTCAAGGTTAAGAGTGTCATAAATCCAAGTGCACATCAACATGTATATGTAATGAATATATATATATATATATATAATGTCACAGCATCAATAACAACTGATACCTCATCAGTGGACCCAAAACGATTCTTCACGGACCGAAGTAAGCGATGAGATGAGGACTTCTCCCCCTGAAATTGCCACATAATATAGTAGTGAAGTGGCATAGAAATAAAATTGCTAATTGCTCAGGTAAACCCTTAAAGACAGAATATACACAGAACATTGCATATCAATTACCATACTTCATAAATCAGCAGACTAACATGCCAAACTCATAACTGAAACTCAACATCATTGCTATAACAAAGAATACAAGACACAAATTCAGTAATGTCAATGTCAGCAATGCTTATACATTCTCATGTTATGATAAGTTGGCATTGTTACTCCTGATTAGTGTACAGAGTTCAAGTGACAAAAGAACACATGCACACATCACAATAGAGAACAGAAAGAGACAGAGACAGAGGTTTAAAAAGAATCAATGGCCACAAAAAAGTGCCAACCATCTCCCTTGATTTAGGTGGAGAAGCACGCTCTGGAATTAAGAGTAGACCATGATTTTATGTCAACCAGGTTTTGGCAAGTAGAGAACCTTGAATTATTAGAAACAGTAAGACCTATGAAGTGAGGACAATTCTTAGTATGCGCCATCCTTTTTGGTGCCCTGGTAAGGAGATTCCTTTGACACTGAAAGAAGCTTATTTTGTACATTCAAGAACAGAACAATTTTAATAGGAACACCACTGGGTGATGGCTTCCTCTTCAATATTATAGTAGAAGTTAACGTAACGTGTTAAATAAATTATTTTGCTAAAGAAATTGTAAATTTGTTTTCTTTAAAAAATGCAAAGCTGTAGAAAATCATCCAATTATCTGAGAGCTACATGCAAAATCTTTCACATTAAAAGCATGAAACAATAGGGTAGTCAACAGATAACACTGAACCAATGTCAAGGGGCCACAACATAATTCTTCACATTATCATCGACAAAATTGCCATCACCACCACCTATCTACTAGGTGATATATGGCACGTTCTGCCTGGAGTCCACATTTAAATATATGTTTCACATAAAGAAAATAAAAGCAAGTGGTGTACCATGCAGAAATGAAATATATTAAACTGATGTACAACTAAAAGAGGACATAAATGTGCTCAAAAGCATTACATCTCTAGCTGTGTGTGAAGATAGATATTTACTTCAGAAAATGCAGCTTCAGGGAAGAAAAAAGAAGACTACATTTCACCTCAGACAAGAAATACTAGATACCCAAAAAAAGGTAACAAGATACCGACTTCCATATATAAAACGACATCGACAATATGCTCCAAGACACGAGGTCCCGCTATGTCTCCAGACTTAGTCACATGCCCAATCTGAAATAGATAAGAAAAGGTGACTTAGTTGTATCCAAGTAATCCATTAACAAATTAATTAATGACATGCAAGATAAAATTATGGATCAGTGAATTAATATTAAAAATGCTACCAGATACAAATATAGCATCAGTTTGTGAATAGGTGAAATATAACACACAAGTGAAGGATAAAGCTAGGCCCCACACTATAATAATGCTTGGCTGATGGACAGAAAAGGAAAGATTTCCGGTGGCAATACGCATTATACACATAAAGGTTCTGTTTGGTGGGGTTTCTTATAGGATGAAATGTCAAAGATGACTTTTGAGCACAGTGCATTTCGGGAAAAAATTCTAAATTGTGGGAATGCCTTTGGCGGGGTGCAGCAAGGAATTCACATGGATGGTAACATAACTGGTGCATGCCTAATGCAAAATAAATTTCATAGATGGGAATAAGAAGCCAGTCGTGATACACATGTTGTGTGGCCAGGAAAAAAACATTTTCAGATTTAATCATAGTCAAAATGAATATAGTAAGGTGCATCACTTGTGACACAGGGAAATGAAACAAGTGAATTTGCACATTACATGCTATGAGATACTTAGCTTTAGCATCCGAAGTTGAAATGAAAACAAGTTAGGTGATGCAGCTTTAGTTATCAGTTTTAAAACATCAAATGAAAGGGAAAAGACAATCAATCCTTCAAATAACGTACACTCACCAAAAAAACAGGGATGTTTGTCTTCTTAGCAAAGCGCAGCAAGGCTGATGTACATTCTTTCACCTGTAATAGATTTAGCATTAGGACACTCTGAGATCACCAAATCTCCTCAACTCAAATCAACAAAGGTTTATTCCAACTATTTCTGGGACAACTAAATAAATCATGTTCCGTCAAAGTGCTTTATCAAGGGCACCTTTCTTTTTTTGTTTTTTTTACTATTTTTATCTCACAACAGCTGCCTCTAACAATATAGCATAGGAATAGGTTGCACCATTTTAGGGCCGCAACCCAAGATACAAGAGGGATGAGAGAATTTAAAACAAGGAACATATTCAACAAAGCATGGAAGAAGCCCTGCTTTTTTGCTCTTAATGGGGGAGATGGGTTCTTTGTTGTGAGGGAAAATGACTGCAAATGTGAATTGAAGTTAATATATAAAACAAAATAATACAGTCCCAGAAGACATTATTGATTCCCTAAGGATAAAACTGAATCATCAAAGAATACACATCCTGAGAAAGAACCTCATCTATCACTTGGTACAAGTGGCTAAGTGTACATGAAACATAAACCTGTGAGAGACCTCCAGCACTTCCTGTCACTCCTCTCAAATAAACTGTCTGAATGGAATCAACAATTAAAGCCCGAGGGGACAGCGGCTGAGCTTTTTTTAGAATGTCCTGAAAGAAAGCACAAGAGGATAACACTATAAATAGTAGGATATTCATAGGCTAATGTCACATGCATACGTATTTTCAATGTCAATGAGCCCATATCACACATTCAAGAGGGTTATAGTTCTCAAGAGTCCAAAAAATATGCTCTCCTCTCCAAGTAGGGTATGAGAAATTCACATTCCTTATATTGCATTCTCATACACTTGCTATATTGCATTCGCATATACTTGCTATATTGCATTCGCATATATGCATCATGCAACTCCATGTAGTAGGCAAAAGAGCTTGAGATCAGTTGAATTCAGATGTGAATCTAAAGTTTGCTATAGCAGCATAAATACCCTTGTCCAATATAGGAAACAACACATCACAGTTTACATTTACTACAATTGACTAAATTACCATAAACATGCACACAAGCAATGATCTAAGAATTAGGATTTTAAGAAAACTCTCAAGTCTTCGTCAGCAATTTGGCACAACAGAAAATTTAACATGGGTGAGTCCGTATCTCAAATTCACATATAAGCCCTTATGCTTGCTTATTTACTATGTTGTACTGAGGTCCTCTTTTCCAACCAGATTATTGTATCACACCTAGGAAGCACGGATACTCGCCACTAGGGGTCGCCTTGGTAGTGTCAGACACGTGCCCAACAAGGATACGCATGAAACACGGCCGGACACGTGTCCGACATCTCTGGAAATGTCCTACACAGTAGATCTGAATTTTTTTCAACCAGATACGTGGGTATACGGGGGACACTGGAGGGATATGGCGGGCTTCTTTTCTTATTTTAAAAACTTAGGGGACTAAAACAAAACAAAAAAAAAAGAGGTAATGTCAAAAAAAGAAAAAAACAAAGTGGCAAATCCTGAAGGCTGAGTCTTCTGTGTTTGTGAATCGTGACAAACAAAGAGAAGGAGAACAAGGAAAGGGGTCTAACCATGGTTCAAAGTATCATCCAATATCGATATGAGTCGACCGAGTCGTATCCGTCTCAGCACCTTCGGAGACGATACCGTTACACAATACGTATAAACCTCAAGTCTCATACAACTCGGCGGAGTCGTCTGAGTTGTATTCAAGTCAATCCCAAATCGCCAAAATATCGTCACCGAATTAGCCGATACGGTTCCACGACGCTACGATATGACCTGAATTTTTCGTTATGTTCAATATTTTCTTTTAGATTGTATCGCCCAATACCGCGCTGCAACGCCGCAAACGATGTGTCTCAGAGCTCTTCAAGTTGATGGCCGATAACGCGACCTTGAACCATGGGACTGGCGAACTGAATCTCCATTACGCTTGCTTCAGCAACAAAGAGAAGGAGAGGGAAGACCAACCTGCGACTTGGAGTCTCAAATCTACTGCTACGAGTTTCAAATATGTGCCGAATGGCGATGATCAATCTTGATTTTTCTCTCTTTTTCTCTCTTTATGTGCGTGGAAGTTCAAAAGGATTTTTTTCAGGGCTGGAGTGGGTGGGAGTTCAAAGGGTTTTTTTCGAGGATGAGGTGGGCGGGGTGTTTAATTAAGCCTGAGGAGTTAAAAGGCATGGGGTGTTTAATTGGGTATGCAGAGTTGAAATGGTTTTTTGGGGTGGGAGTTGAAAAAATGGTTTTTATATTTTGGTTATGAGGCGTTAAGGGTTTACCATTATTACTATTAATTATAATATTTTATTTTATTATTGTATATTGGTAGGTTGTAAATAATATTTTCTATTTTTTTTTTGTATTGTTTATTTTAAAGAGACTATATTTTTCATTAATTATTATTAATTTTGTTATTATATATATTTAATATATATATATATATAATATTATTTTAATTAATTGTATCCTTGTCATACTCATGTCCTATATTTTGAAACTTTCTTGTATTCCCGTGTCCGTATCATATCGGATACGACACTCGTGTCCATATCCGTGCTTTATAATATCACACCTATTGAAATACATCTAATACGGAGGTCCTCTTTTCCAGCCAGGTTATTGTATCACAGATTCTGAAATACAACTAGAAATTTTTTGCTAAGATTAAAAATTAAGGTGGAATACACATCTTTGCTAACAAATTCTAGTCGAACCAATCTAAAACCATCCTCAATTTTGTTCATGGGATCACATTCAGTCAAAGAAAAAGATTAATGCAATAGTTTTCAAGAACCAATCTAAGCCCATCAAATCACCTGCACATAATTTTAGTTTGGGGAAATACCCCTACTGAGGATGTTGAGATGGATGTGTGGTACAACCAGAAAGGTTTGGATTAAGAATGAATATACACGTAAAACGGCAAAAGTAGCACCATAGTAGATAAATTACGGGAAAACTAACTTGGGTGATTTGGATATGTGAAGGTAAGACCTACTACTGTACCTGCTGACAATATTTTCAAAGACAATTGTCCAAAAAAAAAATCTTGAATTACATGTGGCATTAATGAATGAGGCACATTCAGAACAATCATTACCCGAAGCAGATGGGCAAGCCATGAACATGTACCTCAATATCTGTACTTGAATATAAGTAAAGTTCCTCCGTGACAATTCTCGTACGGTCAGCTCTGTTTCCAATTTGCTCAACACTCTGCCTTGACGAAAATGAACAAATGAAGTTGTTAAATTCGTATGTCCTGAGGTGCAGTTGGCTGATATAGCACCTGTACTATACTCATCCAAGGAGAGAGCTAATTCCCATTTTTAATTAAAAATAAATCTGAGTTAAGACTTATTTTCCTAGAGCACCAGATTCCAGGATTTTGGAAACCATGTGAGAATGAAAGATAAAGACATCCTATCAGAATTTCTGACACATTTGAAGCCAGTTTTCATACAAAATAGGGTTATCACTGAACCCTTCAAACTATTTTTTGTATTAAAAAAATTCCAAGTATCATTGGAATTGGGTTTATTCAGTTGTTAAACGAAATAAAACTGTCTGCATTTTTAACACCAAAACAGAAAACGAATACTGGCATTTTGATGCTCTGTCCACAGTAACTCCCCTTACCCCAAGAAAAGTAATGATCACCAAGGAGAGGCAAATGCCAAGCAATATTACAAAGTGGGAATTGTACTAATCGGCGTGCTTCATAAACACTAACCTCTTCACCAGAGACATAAACAACTGGAGCTTGTTCACCCACATTATGTCCTTCTGCTATTAGTGCAGCAATCTTCCAATCCAAAAAGTAAGATTTGGTGTCCACATACAATTATCAAATCCGAAGGGAGATAAGTACAAGTTCAACGATGACATAAGTAATTCTGGCTGATGAGCAAGTTAATGGAACAAAGGACCATTCAATCCGTATGACAAACTCATACCTGCAACAACAGTGTACTTTTGCCAACACCAGGATCACCACCAACCAAAACCAAACAACCTACAAAACCCAGGGTATTATAAAAGTTTGAAATCTGCACCTTAACATAAACTAACAATGGAAAAATCAAAGTTATATATCAAGAAAGGTGGTAACTAAAAACTTCCCAAAAAGGTTGTTACTGAAAACATAAACATTTACATCTTAGAAGTGCAAAACAGGATCAGTGCATGCAACAAGCCATGGAGGTCTGAAAAATGCTACATCAAAAAAATGAAGCCTGATTCGAAAGCTATACAAATTATGCAGTAAAAATCTGAGCTAGACCTACTAAGTATTTCTGATCATGCTGTTTTGTGAATGTGATGTTATTAATCAGATTTTGGCATGTATCCTCTTCTGCTTTGCAGGTTTGTTCACTAGTTTCTCTCTGTCTTAACAGGACATTTTTTCCCCGGCATTTAAACCACAAATAGGTATCCGACATACCTATACGCTCACCAACTTGAGAGTGCTGCATGATAAAAGATCTTAGAAAGCATGTTGCAACAAGTACAACTAAGGGATGCCAGAATAATTTCCTCTCATGCAAGATTCAGAAAAGCCCTAGATGTAATAAGCCCAAATTCCAATAATTTTGACACTATATCTGATTCAACCTTCAAGATTTAAATCTTTTTAAACCATTTAGCCTTCAAGCATACTTTAAAGCTTTAATCCGAACTTTCACAAACTCGTCAGAACACTACAAACTTGTTTCCACCGTCACTGGAAATTTCTAACGAGGTAGATAAAAAATTTATGGCTAGGCCAGAATATAAATGAAGTCAACCACACATGCCACTAACCCATATTATTCAAGAAAGGTCATTGAAATAAACTACTCTTTAAACAAAAGATTAGCCATTTACTGAAACAAACTGAGTTTCTAAGACAACATTTTTAGCACTCAAAGATCCTTCTGCTGTAAAAACTGTGAATGATAAAAGGCAAGGCCAGTCATGTGAAGGATAAACTATAATGTGAATCTTATTACTCGAACAAAGTTGAGCTTGTAACTCCCAATATGCAAAAAGAAAGAGAGAAAACACAGCAAGGACTTCAAACTTTACAATAAAAAAGAATATAAACAAGCAAAACAATATTCCACCAGGTACAAGACCGCCACCAAGCACCCTTGCAACTTCAGCTCCAAATAGTCCATACCTATATATCACGGATAATACATAAGAAACAGTCGAGTTAACAGAATCAAGAAACCACCATACATCTCCTGCAATAATATACAGGTTCCAAAAATCTCCTAAACAAGGTAGAGGGCATCCCAACAATACTCCAGAAATGGTTTACTTTCTCCGGTCAAATTTCAAAAAAACAGAAGTAGCGTACCCACAATTTATGATATTAAATGATGATTTTAGTTTGCTAGAGATGTTAACCATTTATTATCATTTTAGGTAGGCAGAAATAAAATTCTTTTCATCGGGATTCTTTCAAACAGAAATAGAGAATATATACCAGAAAGCAAAGCTTCCAGTAAAATCTTCCTCTTACTTCCAGTAAAAGCTTCCAGTTCACCGTATTAAAGATTTTGGTTGCAGGATCCATCCTTAATGGTGAATTGAGTGGAATGAGCTATGGTATTAGTTCCAAATTATTTTGGGTCAATTAAATGCTTTTTTTCATGTTTGTCAAAGTCCCCATGGACTTTGCCCTGTGGTCATAGGCATAGTGGTCGAAAACCACATTATTTCCTTGTATTTTCTCCACTATACTCCCTTCCTCTATTTTTTTCATATTTACTTCTTTAAAAACCTGCATATATCATATCTACACCAAGCCAACAAACTCTATTCCAATGTAGAACCATAGAACACTCCATTCCAGCAGATGCATTAGGCTAAGACAAAAAAACCGCATTAGTAAAGTGGTTTATACAAAGGACTAATTCTAGATACTTTTTAGCTACACCACACGCGTAGCAGTTTAACATGCATACAGCACAACACAAACTGAGATTACAAGGAAACAAAAATTTTATAAAGTACAACCTAAAGTAAGATCCCAAACAAGTTTTTGAAGACTTACAAAGGGATACGCCAATCCAACTGATTGATCCCCCGATTAACATCCCTCAACCTCAATGGCACTGCCTCAGCTGAGTGCTGAGGCAACCATGCGCGAACCACGTTCTCCGAAACCTCAAACCCACGTCTATTTCTCCCAACATTCACACTACCCTCCGAAAAATGTGTCATCGTTCCCACGCTATCACAGGCCTTACAAATTCCCCACCACTGCCCATCGGAATACCCGCATTTGCAACACACCCAACTGGTCTTAATCTTGCCCTTCTTCCTATTATTCCTCACAAATTCCTCAACTCCCATACTTTTCCCGGTCCCACTTCCCAAATTCTCCTTCTTCACACTCCCATAAACCCTATCTTCCAATCCACCTTCAAAACTAAAACCGGGCAAAGTCGATTGATTTTCGTTTCCGTTGCTCGATTCGGACTCTTGCTCTTGATTATTGGGATTAAATCCTTTTCCTGTGACCATACAACCGGCGAGAGGATCATAAATAGTGGAAACACTAGGAGTTATCCTGTTGTTCGAAGCAGGATGATTGGAAGATGAAGCGGTGGACCAGCTATTTGGGCCGTCGACGGCCATGGATTCTTTGGTGAATCGATGGTTGGAGAAGTGGATGGTTCTTTGAGTCGTGTACTGAAAATGGCGGGAGCATCTACGGTTTTGGGAGGATTTACATGAGACTAGAGAAATGAGTGAGGTGAGCTTGCGGCGATTGAGATCGAGGAGGTGTTTTTGGGTGTATAGTGTTCGTAATGATCGCATGTCTGTGCCTTGCATATGAAAGAGAGAGAGAGAGAGAGAGAGAGAGAGAAGGTTTCTAGGGTTTATGAGTGGGAGGTTTTTCAGTTCAGTTGGTTTATGGAAACCCGCGAAGTTCGAAAAGGTGAGTAATATATTCGAATAATAAATCAGTGGACTCCTTTGATTCGTATGAATTCTAATAAATCCGATTCCACCCTACCAAACACCCTCTTGCATATGATTTATACTCGATACAACATAAATTTAATTATAAATAATTAATAAATAAACCGAATATAAATTGAGCAAATATCACACTTTCATTTGACACAATTGACAATCTTATAAGGAGAATATCGAGGGATGAAGAGGGAGATAGATATGAGAAGTATTGGTTGACTTCTTTGTAGCATCTAAGTTCTATCTATACCTATTTCAGACCAAATATTCTTTTTAACTTCAGTATTGGGACAATCCCTTCATCCAGTTTTGTATCCTCATCTTAGCCCGAATTGGGATAGGAGATCTCTCTTACTTAACCAACCAAGATCCTCAATAGTTAAGAGAAAGAAGTTAATCAAAACAAGACTCACTATAGGTTCAATCGATCAATGGAATTGAGAACCCAATTAAATATTTTTTTCCAACGACTCTTTTTTTTTATACTCTTTCAAATGATCCTACTACGTCTACCCACTACAGAGCAGATTCGACTCTCGTAAATGGAAAGAGATAAAGGAAATAACATAAGAAAATTGTGGATATTTCAAATAAAAACATCAGCGGCAACATAAACAATGTTGGACGAATTGGCACTAAATTTTGATAAAACGTCATTGATTCAAAAAACAAATTGGAATTAGATCCGATCTTAAAAGCAGTGAGCAAGCCAAGTTTAACCAATTTTATACTTAGTTTGATTTGGTTCCATTTCACCCATATGATAAATGACAACAATCAATGATCTCTACTCAAAGCAATTGTCAGATTAAAACATTGTCACATGTGCACGGTGATTTTTGCACAACATATGAAATGGGAACAAATCTCTCACTTGGTGAACTCGTGTTCATCGAGATGGTGGATTATGCAGCAAGGAATGAGTTGAGAGGGCCAAAGGGGGCCTAAGGAGTGATGATGAATTGCTCCAGGGCTATCCAACCGGTTCTGGTGGGTCACGGGATGCTCCTGACACACAGAAAACAAGTTAGAAGGGTGCCGGAGTGTTTTTCGGCGTATCTCCTTCCGACGATCAAGTCAGTTTTTTGAGAGAGGGAAAGAAGAAAGCATTGTATTGCTCTTGAGGGGTGAATTTGCATACCTTTACGCCACATTTGTGAGTGCTATTTATACATTCCATGAAGGTCATCATTGTTGTTAGATGAGTCCTGTCAAGAAAAGGCTTCCCATTGGCCCAGTTGGAAGGCAGCCTGTGAAGCGCAGTCCTAGGGCAGAGTGCCTTTCTTGTCACGCCAAAAGAAATCTCTATATTTAATGCCCAGATCCTTGAGCATTTAATGCACTCCTCCCAAAGTCTGCCGAGTAATAAATGTGTCACATCCTTCTGAGGGATCATTTAATGTCCTTCGTTGTGGCTGCACATGCGCAAGGGCATTTGTGTCCTTTGCCATCCAGGAGGTCACGTCGTTTGGATTTTGTACTTTATGGACTCTCTCTATTAGTCACCAGGTTGCCTATCTTGTCATTTTGACTACCTTGGAAAGAGGGTTTGATGATTAAAAGTCGCCCCTAACTCTGATATGTGATGTCATTCTTGACTTTTCTAAGAACTTCATCATTCGTCATAGCCCAAGTCCCAAGGTGATCGCCACCACCTTAGCGAAATGAGGGTCTAGACGCGAAGGACACGAGTCGGATGGAGGTGTCCTCAAGGAATTTTGGGAGCCGTGGACATGTGTCACGTGATGAAGACTCTGAGGTGCCTTTAGTGTCGAGATGACGTGTCATGTGAAAAATGCTCCGCGGACAAGATGTTGAAGACTTCGCAGACAACATGTCGTGGACTCCGAGGTACCTTTAGTGCCGAGATAACGTGTCATGTGGAGAGTGCTTTGCGGACAAGATGTTGAGGACTCCGAGGTACCTTTAGTTCCAAGGACACGCGTTACTCGCAGGAAGCTTCGAGGTGCCGAGGACATATGTCTCATCCCCTTGATCACAGAAAAATGTCCCATCAATTGCCCCCAGCCCTTGATCTTCATATTGACTAGAAGACGTGACGGATGAAGATCAAAGGGCTTGAATGTCCTGTCCCTTTGTGTAGCCATTTTTCCGTCGATGCTCTAGTGTTGCCGACACTGTTCCTATCCTTTAGAGCACTAATTCCTTCTGTTAGTGTTGATGAGTTTTTTGTTGACATTGAAGGAAACATTGGGAACGACGTCACTGGTCCTCCATAGAATTGCTTTTTCACTTTCCTTGTAACTTAGTTTCTGTTTCTGCAGCTTGAGAGACACAAAACCCTCATTTTTTGTAATGCAAGGACGTTTTTCTTTTACCAAGTGTTTGTTCCCTTCTTTTTCTCCTTTTTTGTCTTCGGGGCTAAGTCTCTTCCTGCGGACTTCGACTCCTTGGGTCCTTCAGGGGCAATGTCCTTAGGGCCATGTCATATCCAGGAGACTTTGATCCTTTTCTCTTTGGAGACAAGAGTCTTTCTTAAAGACTTTGCCTTTGGGGCCATTCCCTTTTCAGGAGGCTTTACTCATTTTGTTTCTTTGGAGACAAAAATCTTTCTTGAAGACTTGGCCTCTGGGGCCATGCCTCTTTCAGAAGGCTGTGCTCCTTTTCTCTTTGGAGGTAAGAATCTTCCTTGAAGACTTAGCCTCCAGGGCCATGCCCCTTCCAGGAGGTTGTGCTCCTTTTCTCTTTAGAGGCAAGAATCTTCCTTGAAGACTTAGACTCTAGGGTCATGCCCCTTCCAGGAGGTTGTGCTCCTTTTGTCTCTTTGGAGGCAATAATCTTTCTTGAAGAGTTGGCCTCCGGGGCCAAGCCCCTTCCAAGAGGCTGTGCTCCTTTGTCTCTTTGGAGGTAAGAGTCTTTCTTAAAGACTTGGCCTCCGGGGTCATGCCTCTTCTAGGAGGTTGTGCTCATTTGTCTATTTGGAGGCAAGAATCTTTCGTTAAGACTTGGCCTCCGGGGCCATGCCTCTTCCTGGAGGTTGTGCTCCTTTGTCTGTTTAGAGGCAAGAATCTTCCTTGAAGACTTGGCTTCCGGGGTCATGCCCCTTTTAGGAGGCTATGCTCTTGTTCTCTTTGGAGGCAAGAATATTCCTTGAAGACTTGGCCTCCAAGGCCATGCCTCTTCTAGGAGGTTGTGCTTCTTTTCTTTTTGGATGCAAGAATCGTCCTTGAAGACTTAGCCTCCAGGGTCATGCCCCTTCTAGGAGGCTGTGCTCCTTTTGTCTTTTTGGAGGCAAGAATCTTCCTTAAAGACTTTGTCTCCGGGATCATGCCCCTTCCAAGACAGCACACTTAGTGAAAATAAGTCTTTTCTTTCTCAACAATAATATTTCTTCAAACTCGTTACATTCTAAGGCTGAAATGCTTCCAAATCCTAGAACTTGTATGACCTGGAGCCTCCCATTGATGTGACTTTATATGGTTTTTCTCAATTAGGTCTCATTTTCTATCCTGGAGTACTTATTGATTTGGGCCATCAACTCGCCTCATATCTGTTGACATTTTCTTTGTTAAGGACTTGTAAAGGTCAGTGTCCCTGGAGAGGCTAAGTCTAAAAGAGGCTGTCGCCATGACCTCAGAGTATCCCTCCACCTCATTCACTTCCTCCCAATATCAAGTGGCATACTGACAGAGTGTTTCACCTTCCTTCCGTATCAGGGTCAGTAGTGACCCAACATCCTTGGGGCGCTTGCTCCTCGTGATGAAACAGACAGAAAATTATCTGGTCAGCTCATTCCAAGACCCTATGTTGTTGGGTCGAAAGATTTCAAACCATTTCATAGCAGTGTCCTCTAGGCTCATTGAGAACACCCCCGACATAGTAACCGGTGATTTGAGTGGTATAGGGACATCATTTGCTTGTATTGCCTGAGGTGGGCCTCTAGGTCAGAACGTCCATCATAAATCTTGAACTTTGGTACCGCAAACTTCTTTGGGACTTCCATCTCCACTATATGCATAGTGAAAGGTGACTGGATAGCTTCATCATCCGTGTCGTCTTCTTGCACGACCATATTTTTTCTCATGTAATCCAACTGTGCCCTGAGGTCTTCCCTCTGTTTTGGGGGCATTTCATGCTCTCGACGTCGATTGACGGGGTCCCTTGTCCCAAAGTGTCGGACGGAGAGGGTTGACCCCTCATTGGACTCCTCCACGCCTCCTCGCCCGGACAAACATCGACGGAGGTCGTTCCAAGCCAAAGGTCTGGTCCTCTTGACTGGAACCTCCGGGAGCTGTTCCTTGGCCCTCGGGCGTTTTGGAGCCTTGAAACTCCCTGCCCCACTACTCAGGCAATTTCTCAGGTCATCTGATCCCACTTCCCTGACAGAAGGTTCCTGGGACTGCAGTAAGTCTCGAAATCCTCTGCCAGAGGAAGCGAACTCATCGAGCCGATTTAGGACGTTCATGTTGTCCTCTTCTAACTGTCATAATCAATCCCCAAAATTTTCCTCGATCACTTCAACTAGTTGACGGGCTAACAGGGCAAATCTTCTGGACCTGATATCCATGCTAGTTTGGCGAATTTTCTCCCTAGAATGAACGAAAAGTTCTTTGTTGACACTTTCAACGCAGCCCTTCATTCTCGACATGAGGGGAAACGGTAAATCTATGTTCCTTTATTGAGGACTCTTTCCTTTTTCGACGAGTATTCACCATGATCATTGTTCTTGGAAAAGTTTGGATGTTTTCCACATATGACACCATATTGTACGGGCTGATTTCTGCACAATAAAAAAATAAAAACAACTTTCTCCCCTGGTGAACTCATGTTTACCTCGAAAGTTGACGATCCAGTGGTAAAGGAATGGCCAAAAGTGGCCTAAGAAATGGTGATGAATCGATCCGGTGGCAAAGGGAGGCCCAAGGGGGCTTAAGGAGTGGTGATGAATTGTTATTCTAACTGTCCGATCGATTTTGGTGTGCAAGAGCATT